AATCCTGATATTTAGAGAGTAGAGAAATGCCATGGGGCACATAATTTTCCCACACCAATGGTGGCCTGAGTGCTCCTATTGCCCTTCAGACATCACATTACCATCCCTCTCCTCATCTGATGCCCAGAGGTAGTAGGAAAGGTCACCTTCCACCTCATCCATCTTTCCTAAGTTGCCTGGTGCCATGCCACTTCTCTGTGGAGGGCAGTGCCAACCATACAATGCAGCTAATACAGCCCTCCACAAAGCCTGTCACGAACAAACAGGGCCCTTCCTTCTGCCCGCAAAGACTCCTCAAAGCCAGACATCTGGGACATGGCTGACTCCAGGGGGAAGAGCTTTATTTCAGTTATCAGGGAAGGCAGCAAGAGCAGATCCCTTTGAGGAACATGATGCAACTACTCATTACTGCTGGTCTTCCAGCATTTCTGCCCAATAAGCAAGTGAAAAACAAAATTACACATCACTTTTAGCACAAAGTTTAGGGGTGGGGGAATAAAGAATCAAACACAGCCGGCTGGAAATTAACTTTACAAAAAAGATTTACAAACAGTATTTGCCTTAGAAGGGGGGGGGGAGATGAATTGCAAAGTGCATAGAATGCTCTGAATATTTGATCACAGTTATCCAATAGTTTGTTATCATAGGATAAAGAACTCTGTAGATTCAAGATATAAATGGTGGACAGGCAAGTACTTTCATTTTTTTAACTCGGTGACAAAAGAGAACACTGCTCTCAGATCGGAGTTCACAATCATACAAATATAGTGGGCCCTCCACATTATCTGGGGTTAGGGCACAGGACCCCCGTGAGAGGGGGAAAACCACAAATTAAAAACACCACTATTTTTTCTACCTGAAAGAACGCTTCTCAAAAAATCTCTAGGTCCTCCTGTGCAACTCTGTGGTCAAGATTTGGCAGAAACTGACCACACAATCATGCTGGAGGACCTACAAATGCCTAAAGCAGCACTGTATTTTATCTAGGAATCTCGAGGTCCTCCAGTATGACTCTATGGTCAACTTCTGGCAGAGTTGCATTGGAGGTCCTAGAGATTCCTAGAAAAAATATATATAAATAAAATCAGTGAATAATCAAATCCACAAAAGTCAAAGCCGCAAATGTGGAAGGCCAACTGTATTTAGACAGCACTTAAAAATTGTATTTAGAACTTGAAATACATGCTCTGAGCAACTGTGGTTGCTTCTTAACATATTGGAAAAACTGGACACAAGTCATTTCATAATTGAATTTAATGCAGAGCTCTGCTTTGACCAGGGGAGCTAGCATCCGGTTCCTGTCACCTCTCCATATGCCAGCCATGTGAGATAAGACCTTTTTGGTGTAAGCATTGCTTATGGGGATGGCCAACACAGCACTCACAACTTGGACAAGAGACCTAGACTTGATGTGTTTCAGCAGTTGCACCCATTTCTCATCCAGAGGAAGATCCATTTTTCTTACCTCTGGCAGGAACTTCTGCATTAGGCTGAGCTCCTCAAAAAGACTGTCTACGTTTACATCAAGATCCAAAATCTTAGCAACTTTACATATACGTTCAAGGGTTAGTTCCTCAGACAACAAGTCAAGATCAAAGGCTATGAATTCTTTAAAGGCTGAGTTATTGAAATCATAATACTTCTCCAGGTAAGCAATTGCCCTATTATACATTTTGATGGTATCCTCTTTGAAATGTATTACCTGAGAATATGGTAACTGTTCTAAGCTAAATGACAATTTTTCGCCAAAAAATTCATTGTCCCTATAATTAATGAGTTTCTGCCTCAAGTTGCACATCATTGTGTGGAGCTGTGGAATTACAGCATGCTTGGTTTCCAAAACAGCAACACAACCATGGAATATTTTCATGAAATGATGGACAAAATAGAGATAGCACTCCGGAAGTGAAATTTTGGGGATGGTACCATGCTCTATGTCTTTTACATGACCACCAATAAACTGCCATATGGTGTTGCTGGTCTGCTCTTCTCCCAGCTCCAAGAAATACAATTTAATGGCATGCCATGAGAGGAGTAATTGTTCAACAGCTGGAAAGAGAGAAAGCCAGCTTGTGTTTCCCTGAGTAAAAAGTGTGTTCAGTTGCACTCCAAGGTCCTCAAAGCATTCCTTGAGTTTCTTTTTTCTAAGACTGCTCCGGGAGAGCTCAGCATATACTTTCTGGACAAGAATCTCCACATCATAACTGATTTTTAAACAGGCATGTCTGGCAGCATTATGGAGCACCTGGCAATAACAACTGGC